AAAAAGCAATTTCAGGTCTCTGAACCTATAACTTTGAAACACCTCACTCATAATCCAGGAAGGAACCACCAATCAATCAATCAGTCAATCAGCCTGAAACCCACACTCACAAGTCAGATCTGTTTGAAGAATGGAGTGCTGCTTCTTCAGTCAGGTATGGGTCCATCAGACAACTAGCAAAAAGCGATCTTAAACATCATTATTAACTAATCACAAATCGGAGGGGGAGCCCAAACTCACAGGCATCACTGCTGTCAAAAAGAAGTGGTTTGTCCAGGTTGATGTCTGACAACTGATGATCCATCACTGAGTTGAATCAAGTCTATACCCATGGTTCTCAGCCCTGGCTACACATTAGTATCACCCTGGGAAGGAAGAAATACTGGTTCCGAAATTCAGGAGGTCTCGCGTAGACCAGGACCTCAGTAGTTTTTAAAACTCCCCTAGAGAATCTCATGCAGGTGGGGTTGCGAGCTGCTGATTGATATAATACTTTTATCTTTTTAACTTGTTTTTTGCAATTTCTTCGTACAGTGTCTACTCAGTATATGGGAAGCTTTCTCAATGGTTGAATGAGTTTTTGCTGATTTTTCCCCCCAGGGGATTCACTGAACTTATGGCTGTACAATATCAATATATCCAAATCAACCAAATTGGTATCATTACAGTCAACCGACCAATCGACCAAATTGTTTCATGTTTTTCATGATTGTGGTATCATAGATATATTTCTTGAAAACAGTAATTTGGTTTTTTCCTCTACAAAATCTGTTTTCTCTACAATGCTTACAGATATGTCCTTGGTTATTATGAGTTCCCATAACTGATTGAGTTGTCAGTCCTAGTGCTCAGATTTTCCTCTGGATAATTTTTTTATTTGATTGAATCAAAATAGATTTTGGAAATGTGAGACCATTACATAAGAAAGCCATTATACAGGACTTATATAAGAAAGAGTGGTTTAAACCTGGCCTCATATGACTTAAAATATGACTAATTTCAGTTTTTTTTTCCTGTCATTAGTATCCACTGTCTTTGAGAAAACATGCTGAGGTGATTGACATAAACATAAAAAACACTGATCGCGCACACTTCTCTATCTGTAACGCCGTTTGTTCTTATTTTTTAATACTCATGGAAATTCTCTCCCACCATTACCACTTAGTTTTCCCAAATTGTGCTTTAACTGTTGATTCTTGTATTAAAAATAACACCTTCAAGGACCCTGATCAATATTTTTGAACTGTGTTTTGCAGATTTCTGGGAGTTTCGCCGAGCTTCAGGGGCTGTTATGGGGACAATGTGGTCGGGGCAAGATGTCTAGCATCAAGCTTAGGGTTCCTTGTGGTGGTTTCTTCTGCAACTGAGCAGGTGTGCTGTTCTTGATTTCACATTTTGGGTTCCAAATAAGATATAATTTGAACAGCCCTAGATGGTGTGGCTCAGTGAATTGCCAGCCTGAGAACCAAAGGGTCACTGGTTCGATTCCCAGTGTAGGGCACATGCCCTATGTTGTAGGCCAGGTCTCCAGCAGGGGGCGCATGAAATGCAACCACACATTGATGTTTCCCTCTCTTTTTCCCTCTTTTCCCCTCTAAAAATAAATAAAATATTTTAACAAAAGGTTTAATTTGAACAGGGGATTTCTTGAAAAAACAAGTTTGTAAATGACTAGGCCACTAGGTTCCTAAGTTTCTACTTCCCTTTCCCTGCCAAATGAGTTCTGGTAGCTCCTAATTGTTTTTAGCTACTACTGTGTATCTATGTTGAAAAAACAAGGAAAGACTTTGGTCTCATTAAGTTTATACCCTCCATGCTTGTAGGGAAAGAAAGCAAAATAAGCAGTTAGATATTCTGGGCAAGAAATACAGATAGGGTGCTATCAGCATAAAGCGTCTGTTTAAGTCATGCATGTGGAACTAATTACCAAAGGAGAGTGTTTATAGAAAGACATGAGCTGCGTCAAAGATAAAATCGTGAGGAAGAGCTATTTGGGGTCAGGCACCCTCCTCTATATTCACACTAATCCAATACACATTGGTCCAGGAAGTTTCCTTTTTTTATATTTTAACTTGCTGTTTTCCCACATGTGCTTGTGCATAGCTGTCAAGAGTGTTGGAACTGGAGTATACATGCGTGGTGGCCGTGGCAGACTGGGTCAGAGCACAGGCCTTTGAAATCCCTACATCCTGCACAAAACTTTAGGGCTCCTTCTACGTGGATGTTTAGGCGTGGAATGAGAAGATCAATTTGAGTGTTTAGCCATTGTAGTATTTTTGGCATAAAATGATTTGTTAAGAAGTACTGTGTTTCCTTGCCTTTTAAAATCCAGACATTTCCTCCATGTTTTTGTCCTTCTTTCTGGAATTAGAGCAGTGACTGCTAAATTCTAGGTGTGGTCCCAATGAGGCCCAGGGGCAAGCAGCATTCCGTGTGGGTCTGAAGCTTCATTTTGTTTCTTGGACACAGACCCTGCCTTCAGTGCTGGCCAATTGTTTGGCAAATCTAGTTACAAGGCTCACCATGCAACAGTGTAGTAACTTAATTTAAAACCACATAAACCTTCTTAGAAAAAGTCGAAGTACCGGGGTAATGAATAAATACATCTTATAAATAAGATACTGTCAAAAATATTTTACTTAATTGGGTGTTCTAATGATAAAAGGAGTGGTCATTTATCAAAAATTAAGCCCCACACATGTTTTTCTGTTCTGTTTACTTCTTTAGGTTGACTTCTTTGATTATCTTACACATTCAAAGAAGGGAAAATATAGGCAAACAAATACTAATTTTATTAGAGATGAAACTCTACTTAAATATTGAGTAGCTTATGCATGAAAATTGTCATTTAGAATCACCCCAGCACATTCACCTTTCTTTATAAATTCTCACGAGATAATACTCCCAATTGGCTGCAAATACAAGCTATGTTAAGGTAAAGTTTCACTTTAGTGTTTTATAGTTTTAATAGTTTTAAGCTGGCGAAGAGGTATTTGAATTAGATGAAATAGAATTAATAACTTTTAAAGTCCTAATAAAAAAATATTGTGATGATATAATGTTAAAATAACTCAGTTTACCCCTGGATGAGGCTGAGTGCCCAGCATGTGTCGCACACTGCCCGGTGCTGAAGGCCCACAGAGAACAGATGGGGCTCTGACTCAAAAGCTACAGTCCCCGGGGAGATGCAGGTGTGTGGATGACAATCACAGCATTGTGATGAGTCCCGCAAGTGACTACTTTCTATAGGGGTTTAGAGCGAGAGTGTATTCCACACTCTGTGTTGGTCAAACTATTAAAAGAATCACAGAAATCCATGAGGTGCACAACCCAGGGCAGCCTTTCTAAGCAGCAGGAGCAATAGGTGCAAAGGCGCTGACCCGAGAAAGTGCCCTGTGGACTGGGAGACCTGTTTGGTTCTTCAGGGTGAGTTGATGCAGGAGCTGGATCATTTGGGGTCCTGTGTATCACACTAAGATACAAGAAGTTTTGATTTTGTTTTGACTGCTGAGAGTGGTCCTTGAAGGCTCTGAAACAGAGAAGTTGGGCAGGAGTCAGGGTTTGGTGATAAAATTAGCTTGTGTTTCAAACTGATAACCCTGAATGGGGCTTCACGATAGGTCCAGGAGGGCAATAAACTAGGGGTCCACTGAAGCGATTCACATGGGAAATAAGGCTAATGTCTCATAGTAAAGACATAGTAAAGGCTTTTGCTTTATTTATTATTCTTGGTGCTTGCTGCGCTCTAGGGAATGTGATAGAGATGTTTGGTCAGCAATTTGATATTCTACGCAAGCAATACAAAATTTGGGCATCACTGGCGAATAGGCTTGGTTGAAATCCTGTGATTGGATATAATTACCTGACTTCTCTGGGAGTGTGTGTAGAAGGGAGTGTGTGTAGAATGAAGTGTGAAATGGGTCAAAAAATTGTGGAGAATAACTAATATGTGTTCACATTCGACACAGAGCGCCCCTTGGTCTTTAGGTTCGCAGACAGGGGCCTGGCTCTGAGCAGGTCGGCCTAGGGCCAGCGGTAGCGTGTGGGTTCTTGACTTCATGCAGGAAAGATTTCAAAACATGAGTCCAGGTGACTAGGAGGGTATGTTTATTAAAGCTGGGACAATGAAACAAGAGAGGGCTTAGCACAGAGGAAGCAACAGGAGAGCCTAGGCTGGGTTGCTGTAGCTCACTGAAAAGTCAGAGAAAAAGGGGTTTTGGGGAACAGGTTCAGAGGATTAGCCTGGGACAAGGCGCCAGCAGCCCACTTGCCTTAGAGTTTAGGAGATGCGTGCCTCTGGGGCTAGGAGACGGGGCAGAAGAAGGAAAAGGAAGTGGTGCCGGCTGCTCAGAGGGAGAGCCAGGGGCACAGCCAGCTGAGTCCTTTGTCTTCAAGCTTTTCTCTCTTTCTTGCAGGCGGGAATCTTAGGGGAGGCCTCAGGGGAGGGTCTCAGTAGAATGTTCATCAGTGCTCCAGGTGTGTCCTTTCAGGGTCATGGTCTCCACTGATTGGTCAGTGACAGGGCAGGGGGTTCTTAGTCATTGCAGTTGGTTCTGGCCTCGCCCACCTGGTTTTGCTGCTTTTCTCGGCCTGGAGCTGAAATACAATTGAGGCTTAGACTTTATCTCCAGGGAGAAAAAGCCAGGGGAGAAGAGGTTACCCTGGGGGTGAGGTCCTTGTTTTTCCAGTTTTGTCCCCTGCCAGGCACTCAGGGCCTTCCATGCTGGTGGCCCTCTGCTCCTGGCTGTAAATTGTTCAGCCACTGTGTTCAGCTCTGTGTCAGTTTCCCCATTCCACTTGCCAAGGAATTTTCCTAGCTTCTTGCTAGCTTGTCTCATATGTTCCGTCCTTTTTCTACTCTGGTTACCTTAGCCTGTGTTGATCTTTTTCACTAGACAAACTGTTAGGACAGGGACTGAGTTTTGTTTACAGCGTCACTGCCATTGCACAACTTCAGAAAGCATCGTTCCTCTGTCTGAGTAGTTGTGTTCCCTGTGCGTGGTGTCCTCTGGAGCTGTGTTTCAGCTGTCCCTGCTTAGGTGGTCGCAGCAGTTATCTTGATTCCTGACATATGGTAAGTGTTCATTATGTTTGTTGAATGAATGCATAAATGACACAATAAATAATGAGCGCTCAGAAGAAGAAGGAACTAACAAACGAAGTAAGAAGCACAGGTCTGTCAGGGAGAAGGATAAGCAGGAGACACTCCTGTCGTGGAAACTCCAGGAAGAAGGAGTTCAGTAATGAGAGAGAGGTCAACAGTGCCAAATGTTACAGAGAGGCCAGTTAATTAAGAATGGCAGAGTTAGGACTCACTGTGCATTATCAACAACAGCTTGAGCTTGAGCAGCATGTAAGGGAGGTAGGAGGGGAATTCCATTCCATTGAGGTGGCAATGAGAAAAGGGAGGAGGAGATAGTCAGCATGCACGGTTCCTTAAGAGGCTGGCTTCGCCGGCGGGGGGGGGGGGGGGGCGTGGAGGGGAAGAAAATAAGTGGTGGTATCGAGAGAGGCCAAAGGGGGTTTTCCTCTCTTGTCTTTCCTTTTCTTCTCTTTTTTTCTACCTCACTTTCTTTCTTCCTCCTTTCAAGATGATAGACATTTGAGTAAATTTATACCAGTGAAAAGGTCTAGGTTCAAAATACAGAGAAGAGGAGAAGGGATATTTAAAGGACATGTGTTTCTTTGAGAAAGGCAAAAAAGATGAGGATACATGCAGATATGAATAAACTGGAGCAATCACTGAAGGAAAGAAAATAGAGGAAAATCCATGCAACAGCCCATTCTCTACAAAATATTAACTACCATGTTTTGGACACCTTTTATGTTGTAAGCATGACTAAAATTACTTTAATTTGTTAACTCATAAATTTCTTGCAACAACCCTGGGAAGATGAAATTATTATTCTAATTTTACAAATGAGACAATGGAAGGACTTAGGGACTAAGCATCTTGCCTGAGGATACACAGTGAGTAAGCCGCAAAACCAGGATGCAGATCACCATCGTGTTATACTGCTGGAAACAATGGGTCTGTAGAGCACTTAAGATTTTGAATAACCGTTGTGTGCGTGAAACTGGTACAACATACAGTTGCTGAGTCACGACAAGAGCTTAGTCTGTGTTGGAAATGATAATTATGTTGCATCATTAAACTGCAAGGTTGAGAGATTGCCTCTAGCAAAACTTGCCTTACCAGTTATAGGAGTGGAAATGTTTGGACGTTTGCATTGATGTGGAATTGGGAATTGGCAACTTGGAAGGAGTCGGGGTGCCAGAGAAAGAGCAATTGATGTGATGGATCATGAAGTCAAGCCTCTAAGGAAAAGGAAATGAGAGCAGGAGAAACTGAGGAAATGGGAGAAAATGCAAGAGCAAAGAGCCTAAGGGATCAAGGAATTTGAAAACAAGGCACATTACTAGTTGAGGAGTTGGAGACTTGTGGAGGCTAGAAAGTTGGGGATAGAGAGGAATACTTAATTCTCTCAACAACCCTAGATTTCAGAAGTGAAGGCTGGCACCAGTGATGATGGGTTGATGATGATGGGGCTTTGAGAGTACATGACAAGTGGACTGGAGGTGAATCCTATGGGATGTGACGAGGTCAACAATGAGGTCTGCAGAGATGTTGGGTAGGTGCTGACTAGAATTTGTCTTTCATTGGAGAATGGGGCCCAGAAGCCCGAAGGTCTGGACTTTAGATAGCTGCAACTCACACATGTTACGGTCTTAGGGAAAGATATGAAAGATTAGCTGACACCTGATAGACAACAAAAATCACTCATAGTCTTGTCAAAGAACTGTTAAATAGCTTATATTATGAACTGTAGTTTTTGAGTAGAAGAACTTGAAGTGTTTATTGGCAAAACAACACATTTCACAAGTAACTTTGGATGCCTTAACCAAATGGTCATTACTGCCCTGGAAAGAAAAGACTGTGTGCTCCGAGAAAATCTCCTCTTCCTCTTCCCTCCCCCTCCTCTTTCTTTGTTCTGGCCAGTATACAATATAGCACTGTCTGGGCAGAGAGGCAGCTGAAGATCATCAGGCTTCCAGATGTAGAGTTTGTTGTCATTTGTGGGGGTGGGGGTCATGGGAGAGGGGCCGGAAACTTCAGTGGGAATCTCTGTGGTGTCTTTGCTTCTATAGATAGCCATGCGATGGGAACTAGCAATATGTTCCCTTCGTACAGCTGTGTGTACGAGTGTCTCCTTTTCTCTCCTGCCTAGTTAGGATTTAAGGAAATCAAAATTTGAGCTGATGTAAGCTTAGCCCCATATGTGAAGACATGGAGCTACTGCATAGAAGTAGGATATGTGTCTGGGGGTCTGATATGTAAGTGGCTTGTTTAAATTATGTATCAGTGGGATATAAGGAACAGAAACTCCAACCTGGACTACCTCCACTAGTTAGGAGAAAAATTCCTTCCCGTGTTAGAAAGTTCAGGTGCAGAATGTCTGGGTTGTGACTTTGCTTCTCTGTGGTTTTTTTGACTCTGTCCCTGCCATGAATTGGGTTCATTCTCAGCCTGATTCCCATCATGGTCCCAAGATGGCTGCAATAGTCTGAAGGGTCACATCGAAATAAGAAACATCCAGTGGAAGGGGAGAAGCCACATCTTCATGTCTCCTTAGTAGCAAGGAAACGTTTTCCCAGAAGCTCCCAAAAGACTTTTCCTCAAGTCATTGGCAAGGATTGAGTCACTGCCTTTTCCATCATTCAGCCTATGACTGGCAGGGGGAACAGGATTGCTGTAATTCTTGATTAATCAATGGGGAAGGACACGATGTTTATTTCCAAGAGAAGGCTGAGGCCATTATTGAGAGATTTCAGCCTTGTCAAGGGAAAAGAGCCTGGGTTAGTGGTCAAGTCCCTGACTTCAGCATTTGCTAGCAGCATTTGTCTGGCAGAACCTGGACAAATTGCCAATTTCTGTGAGTCTCTGTTTTCTGTTCAAGGAATCACTGTGGGACTTGAAAACACTTTATATAAACTTTAAGGAGCTATACAAATGCTAATTATTCATTTATGAATAATAATTATAACAACAACTATAATAATAACAACTTCCATTTACTGAGCACTTACATGTTCCAGGCTCTTTCTATGGGCTTAAATGCATTCTCTTTATTGCTCACTGAACACACATCAAGCACCCAGCATACTCAAGGCACTCTACTAAATGCTCTATTTCTGATCTCAGGTAAACTGAGATCTGGAACAGTAAGGCTCAAGGGAAGGGGCAGGGAATAGATGCGGGCTCAGATTTGTTGGCGGTGAGAACGGCACCAGGTTAGATGGGTGGCGTCAGACCAGACCTTGGTGCAGCAACCTTGGTGTTTGAGTCCTGGCTAAGAAAGAATTCAGAGACAAGACTCAAACTGTAAGAGAAGGTTTGTTTAGGAAGTCACAGAGGTAAAAGAAGTGAGCTGTAGAAGAAATGGGCTCAGGAAACCAGTTACAGAGGCAAAGGGAGGGCCCTCGGAGCTTAGGGGAGAGAGTGGCAAGGAAACCGCGCCTGGGGGAGGGGGCTGGGAAGGATGCTGGGTGCGCCCTAGGGACCTCAGCCTCACCGGGTCCTCTGGCTTGAGGGTATTTATCTGGAGGTCTCAGGGGAGGGTCCCAATAGACTATTCATTAACTTTCCAGGTGTGTCTTTTAGGGTGACGGTCTCCACTGATTGCTTGGTGCCAGGGCAGGGGGCCTTAGTGCAGTTGGTCCTGATGTCCGCCATGGAGTCCCTTGTCTGGTTTTGCCTTTTCTGGGCCTGGAGCTGAAACACGACTGAGGCCTGCATGTACTATTTTATGCAGGTCAGAACCTCATTGTCCTGGGGGCTTAAAGCCAGGGGGTTTAACCCACATAACAAGCAACATGCCAGGGCAGCGAAGGCCAGGGGAGGGTCTGCACTGCATGAACAGCAATATAAAGGTCAGGTTGTCTAAACCCCGTGACCAGCAGTAAGCTAGGGGAGGAAAGGTCACCCTAGGGGGGAGGCCCTTGTTTTTGCAGCTTTGCCTGTTGCTAGGCACCCGGGGCTTTCCGGTCTGGTGACCTTCTGTACCTGGTCTATGGTCCTTGCTCTGCTCAGACCTTGCTATGGTCTGTCTAACTGCCTACCACAGTTTCACACAGAGTTTCCATACTTTTTTAGTCTGTGTGACCAAGTAGTGGCCTCTGACAGTTGCCCTGTATATTTGCCACAGATTGTCTTTAGCTAACTAGTTCAGGGTTCACCGCTCGAGGCGTTTGCAAAACACAAGTTTATATGTACTTTCAGAACACCTGATGGTTTTCTTTCCGTTATTCCTTTATTTCCTCAAAGATAAGATTTTTTTTTTGCATAGTTGTGCTTTTGAAATCGTAGATGGATCTACACATGTTTATTAAGTCCTCATATGTATTGTTTTGTCTGTGCTTCATGAATTAGTAACATTTCTAAATTTCTTCCCTCCAAAGTAGGTTCAACAGTATAGAGGTACATAATAAATATTTTTAAATGAAGTATTGATTATTATATTTGTTATTAATTATTAATATATTGCAGGTACAAGCCAGGATTTTTATCACATTGAGGTTTAGTGGTCAAGAGACCTGCCAGTCAATGAAGTCAGTAAATGATGGGTTGTTGTTGTTTTCCCTTTTTTGGTGTGGTAAATTGCCTTGCTTTGAACAGCATTGTGGAGAGAACTTCTTCCGTATTTTGCTTTATATCCGTCTGATAGTTTCCTTGAAGGAGAATGGCAGATCAAAGGGTTTGTACTTTTTATATTTATTGGCTAGTTGGTTCATGGAAGGTTTTTGAGTGGTAAAAATGACACACTTGCGTAACTATAACAGGGACTGGCAACCCACCCATCATTCTTTTGACATTGTTTCTGGAAGCGTGGACTCTGGCTAATATGTAGCTTGTAGATGAACACACGTTTGTATAAGAATCTTAGGAACTTACTTCAAAAGAGACAGACTCTGACCTTCAGGCATCCCAGTTCCACCAGATTTGCTGACCTTCTTCAACTGTGGAGCCAGGATGACGCACATGGGACCATCACTTGCCTTATCGGAATGGCTTATGCTGGTCTGCACGTACAGAACTTCTCAACCCGCTTCGTTGATCTCTTTGTTCTGTTCCCCTCTCCCTCCTTATAAAAACCGCTGCCTCCACTGAGATGTGGGGATGGGCTTTGAGGTGTGAGTCCCCCATCTTCCAGACGGCTGGCACCTGAAAATCAACCCCCTTCCTTTACATCAACGCCTGCCTCTCCAATGCTGGTTTTCGTAGTGGCAGGCAGCCGGACCTGCATTTGGTTACACTTGTAGCGTTACTCTGCGATTATGCATTTTCTCATTCTTTTTTTAATTTTCTGGGCTGGTGTTTTCTTCATTTATTTTCTTTACTTTTATCATTAATACTATTCCAGATGTCCCCATTTCCCCCACTCTGCCTGCCTCCACCCAGCTCCCCACCCTTCTCTCTGGCCATCCCCACACTGTTGTCTGTGTCTCCGGGTTATGCATATATGTTCTTCGGCGAATCCCTTCGCTTTCTTTCACCTAGTCCTCCCTCTCCTTCCCCTTGACAGCTGTCAGTCTGTTCCATGTGTCCATGGCTCTGTTTCTACTTTGTTCATCTGTTTATTTTGTTCATTAGATTCCACATATAAGTGAGATCATATGGTACTTGGCTCTCTCTGACTGGCTTATTTTATTCTGCATAATAATCTCCAGGCCCATCCATGCTGTCCGTGTTTTCTCATTCCATGGTGTTTCATATGCCTGGGATGAAAAAATATGTCCAGAAAATCTAAACTGTTCTGATACCATGTAACTTCCTTTCCCCAGGCTCCCCTCGCAATTGTAATAAAAACAGTGTTTTTGTGGCTCAGCCTGTACTGGATTTTGAGGAAGTCCAGCCCATGTCAATTATTCCCGATTAGTTCCTAAAGTCCTGTGGAGACATGAAACTTGTGCATTTTTATTCATCTTTCTCTTATGGTGAGGGGCTGCTTTTGAGGCTTCTTGATCTGCATGCAAACACACTCCCTGACGAACCTATCTTTCAGACACATCTGCTTTTTATTCATAGTTCTGGCCCTCACTCTGGGACCTCTGCTATACTCTTAAGGCAATCTTTGTGTAAATTGATGGGAAAAATGAAGGGAGAGATACTCTTTTCTTGCTGACAAAGGATAAATCTGGAGTATTTGTTTTGGCATTGTGGTAGAGGTAGGAAGACTTTCATTCATGTGACTCCACTTCCCATGTAGTTTTTTCAACAATTCCTAAAATACTTCTCCCCATCTCTCTCTGTCTCCCACATGATATATTGGTGAATGCAGCTATGTAGCAATGGAAACTCAGAGGAAGGAACTGCCACTATTCTTAAACAGATTTTTTAAAAAAATCATAGTTGTAACCATAGTGTATGTGATATAAATCATATTTATGTTTCGTTCTGTGCCTGTACATTTCCTCAGATCGTTTTAAACACTAATGTGTCAGGTATGGTAATAAGCAAAAGCAAAAGACGGGGACCACCCCTGCCTTGGAGGGGCCCTTGGACAGATTGACCACAGAGTGTGACCAGGACAGTGAAGAAGATGGAGAGAGTGCTGTGCCAGCAGCTAGGCTGTTTGGGGAGGACCCCCGAGCAGCCCTGTGAAGCAGGTAGAAAAAAGAGGCCCAGGAAGCTACTCCTGACTGCTTACACGGGCACTCACTGGGAAGGCCTGGATGTCCACCCAAATCTTTCTACATTCAAATTGCAGAGTCTTCATTTAGTTTCTTTTTTCCAAATTTGAATTTTCAAACATTTCTAAAATAAGTCTGAATTCACAGAAGGAAATAAAGGGCATTCTGCTCCCCTCATCCCCCTTCCCCCCGGACCTCAGGCTCACACTGCTCGAAGTTTGCTGGGTGTGCTCCCAGGCCACCTTCTCTGTGTGTGCAAATCGCCTAGGGGAACCTCAGGTCTCCAGCCCAGACGGAACACCTGTGAGGGCGGAGGCTGGTCTCAGGGCTGTGCTGTCCTCTCCGGGGCCTGCCTGGGTGAGGTTCATGGCATGCTGGCCTCCAGGAACCAGGATGCCACCAGGTTTAGGAGCAACAGTGTTCCGGCAGCCAGCGCTTTGGGGCAGAAGAGCTGTTTGTGCTGCTCTGGCTTTCCACCTGCCCCTGACTGCCCTGAGCAGGGCCCCTTACCATGTAGAGGCGGGGGGTGGGGGGAAGCAGGGACCAGGGGCTGCCCCTTTGCTCATCTCTCTTTCTCCAGCAGCTGGTGCCCAGCTACTGTTGCATGAAAGGCATGAAGATGCCCGGGCCCTAGTTCTGCAGGTCCAGCCATGGACTGACTTTGGGTAAGTTGCTTCAAAACTAGAAGAGTCCAACCTCAGCTTCTCCACATCTAAGGTGCACTATTTCCCTCCTCATTTTTAATGTTTCTGAAATGAGATGGGGTTGGCATTAGATGTATGTAGTTAATATACTACTGTTTCTTAACTTTTTTTTGAAAAGCTGTTATTAAGTCAGTGGGGTAAGTTACAATTTATGTTATTTTGGGATTGTGGGAATGTGGTAATCTGTCTTTTGGGGAGTTTTTGGAGAATAGAGAATGCCTGATAACCTGCTTTGTGGATGGTGAAGTGCTACATAAATACAAGGCAGACCACTGCCCAACTGCTCCTGCGTGGTTATTTCCCAGAGATACCTGAGAAGAAACTTCTTGATTAAAAAATTAGTGACAGTTTTTTTGTTCAGTTAAGCTGGTATTCTACTTTAGAAGAATGTACATTTCTGATCTCTTCTTTCCTCAATAAGACTCAAAACCTATTTTCATTTTTTAATTAAAAAAAATAAAACATACCTCTTAAACGTTTGAATTTTATTTTATTTTTTTGAATTAGGCCTTGGCAAGAACAATTTGCCTATCATGGATTTAGAGGATTCCTGGCCCTTATTGGAAATATCAGATTGGCCACAAAACTGTTGTAATGGGAACAGAATGTCAATCCAAAGGAAGTGTTGTAGTTCCAATGAAAAATGACAATGTCACTTAATTCCTATGACATGCCTGGTAATATGAGAGGATTAAAACAATTACTTAGACTCTATGCCTGTCTAGAAGAGTATAATTTGGAGAGCCTTCAAATGGTGAAGGCTAGGCAGTGAGCAAAAATTTCCCCTTCAGCTCAATTCAACCAATTAGCCTTAATAACAAGTCTGAAGGAGTTTGCAATGTAGTAGGAAACAAAATGTTTATCTTGTCAGGGAAAAGCAGGGTGCTCACTAAGCAGATACCCAGCAGACACAAGATCACGGAGAGAATATTGATATTCCTACAAGAAATCTTACCAGGTACTTTGACAAGTATGTGGTCTGCCATAGCATTTAAACCACAGGTTGCGAAGTCAGACGTCTTTAGGGGCTCAAGTGTGGGTTTGCCGAGCTGTGACATAAGGCGGGTGCTGGGCCATAGCCAAATCAAGAGGACGCGTAAAGGTTCATTCTCTCACCCTTCAACATATAGTTAAGATCTGTCCTCATTGCAGGAGACATCAGTGAACAGAAATCCCTGCCCTTCTGGAGTTCATATTTGTTGAAAAACAAATAACCCCATTAGAATGATCTCCAAAGTAAAAGTAAACATGTCAGACGCGTTGGTCTATTTCTGTGATTGAATTGTACAAATTTCAATTTTGTTAGCTAATATTTCTGGATAGGTGATTTCTGGGTAAGCAAGATTACTGTATTTATAAGAAGAGGGAGCTTATTTCTGGCACTGTGCTTGGTCTGTTGCCTTAATTTGGCAAATAATCGCAATTATAAAATATTATTAGCTCTACAAGGCAACATCTGGTTTATTTCATTCTAGTTTGATATTTAATTGAAAACAAAGCATTGTGAAAAATCCTATCTGTCCTTGTACTGATTGTGATGACTTTCTACACTTACTTGGTGATGACTCCGTGCGGTGTCTGACCGCCCCGTCCAGGATTCCCTAGTGGGACGCAGAGCCGCCCCTTGAGCTGGGAGCTCCCCAGGGAGCAGTCCTCTCGCAGGCCTGGCTTTCTGCAGTGTGACTCTGATGAGGTCACTAGAATAACAAGCTGGGAGCTTGGACCTGGGAAACCATGTGGGAAAATGGGGATAAGAAGCATTTATAGCTGCACTTATCTCCAATTTCAACAACTGGAACTTTGCTGGGCCTGCAAAGTGAGGCAAAATTGATAATTTCAGAGAGAGAAAATGCAGGCCGCTGGCAGGGAATAGAGCCTTCCGACTCTCACTGTTCTGTTCAGTCTTCAGTGCCCTGGTGAATGTTTTTAGTAAATGGATGGGTTTTAAAGATGTGAATGTCTATGGCTCAGATTCCTGGAACTTCTCTGCATGTGCCCAGGAGCTCCCGCCTTCTCCTGTGTGTGCGGGTGCCGCACTGACAGAGCGGGGAGGCCGTGTGCCAGGCCAGGGTCTCAGCGCTCAACCTGAGAGACGTTCCGCTGGAAGGACCTGGAGTCCTCACAGGTCCTAAGTATTGAAGGAGGGGCTTTGGGTTGTCATAACAAGTCTGTGTTCAGCTGGCCTCTCCTCTGAGCGATTGGTGCCTCTAGTTAAATATTTTGAGTATTGCCCATCGTATCATGTTCAATGAGTAACATTTCTAAGTTTCTTCTAAAGTTTAACAGTGTAGAAGTACTTAATAGATACTTGATTTAAAATATTAATCATTATGTTTGTTATTATTAATATATTAAAGGTTCAAGTAGTTAATATATAATTTCAACAGTGAGGAAATTGAAGTTCTCTGATTGAAGTGCAAGATTTTCAGAATATGTGTGGATGATCCTAGTGAGTCCAAAAGAAGGATCATCAGGAATGTAGTCTGACCTGACGTGTTACGTGGTTGAATCATACAGCATATTTGGGGGAGGGAAAAATCAGAGGCAACCTAACTGTCCAACAATGGACAAAATCAATTACAGTATTTCATACAATCAAATACTTTGCAGTCATTAAAATGATCCAAGTACATTTATTAACATTCATGGTATCAAATTAAGTGAAAAGAGTAAATTATAGATAGAATTACTACAGTTTTGTTCTTTAAATTGTAGCAAGATATATATAGAAGTAAATAAATATATATAGAAGTAAATGAATTTACCTAGAATTCTTACCATTTTTAAGAGCACAGTTCTGTGACATTGAGTATATTCACATAGTTGTACAGTCATCACTGCCATCTATCCAAACCTTTTTTAATCTTCTCAAACTGAAATTCCATACCCATTAAACAGTGAGTCTCTGTTCTCCTTCCCCCCAGCCTCTGACAACCCCCATTCCATTTTCAGTTTCTACGAATTTGACTACTCTAGTTACCTCTCATACGTGGACTCATAGAATATTTGTACCTTTGTGCTTGGATTATTTCACTTAGCATAATGTCTTAAGGTTCATCCATGTTGTAACATGTCAGAATTTCCTTACTTTTTAAAGGCTGAATAGTATTCCATTGTGCACATACCACATTTTGTTTATCATTCATCCAGGCACTTGAGTTGTTTCTACCTTTTGGCTCTTGTGAATGAATAATGCTGCTCTGTACAAATGTCCATTCAAGTTCTGGTTTTCACATCTTTTGGGTATAAACCGAGAAGTGGAATTGCTATATCATATAGTAATTCTATTTTTTGAGGTACTGCCATACAGTTTTCCATAGTGGCTGCGCCATTTTACATTCCCCATGTACAAGTGTTCCAATTTCCTCACATCCTTGCTAACGCTCGTTACTTTCTGATTTTGTTTTTTGCTTTTGTTTTTTTTAATATTAGCCATTGTAATGGGTGTGAAGCCTTAGTTTTGTTTTTAAAAAGATGCATTTCCATACACATATAATACAAAAATAATTGTCCAAAGGATTTACTCCAAATAAAAACAGTGCTTATTGGGTGGCAGGATGTAGATGATTTTTCTTGTCTTTTGCTCTGTTCTCTTTTTTCCCTCTGCATTAAGCATGCATGATACAGGTAATTGAAAAGGTTGGAAACTCAAAATCAAGCTGTACCAGTTCAGAGGTTGGGGGTACCTCCCGTTTGCCCCAGCAGCAGCCTTCGTGGGGGAACTCATACTTGCTGATTTTGGACTTGACGCTGCCCCTGACATGGTGCCACTCTCCATGCCGAGGCCGTCCATGACGTTCCGTGTCTGAAGCCCAGCTGCTTCATGTTCCCCTGCCCCGCGAAACACAACCAGAGCCCCTTGGCAGTGGGTCAGACCGCAGCTACTACTCTAACCAGCATGTGGCTTTTTGGTGCCTTAGTCTACCTTCCACTTCTCTCTCAATTTTTAGCACGAAGAAATCTCCTTTTTGGGTCTGTGTTCTCAATAAGGTTACAGCTGGTCCTCTTAGTTGATTACAAATGAAAGGGAAGGGTACTTTCTTCCTATTCTGTGAAGTTATGGATTCTGTAATTTCCCATAGAGTTTTAAAGCTCATAACAAGTGCCTTTGTCAGCCAAAAAGCAGTCAAGATTGTATATGTACCAGTTTAGAAAGAAAATAGTGTTGTCTAGTTTACAGTACTATAACTTACTCTTTTTTTTTTTTCCAGTTACTATATTTGATCATGTGTAGGCTGAAAGGGTACGTTACAAAACATGTTTGTTTGTTTTTAAGAATTAAGAGAGTAATAAACCAGGGACAGGTGATAAGGAAAAGCATGAGTTAAGGGCTTCTTTACGCATGATTGACTCTTTTATTCAAGGATCGGAGAGGGGCCTTTTGTGGGCACCTTTTTCCTCGGTTTGCTTTGTTTTGACATGATGATTCTGGCCGCCTTGATTGAAGGCCAAGGATTTGAAGCAAAGTCAAAGAGACAGTTGGAACAGTCTGAGCCTGAGCTGTTAGGACTTGTGCTGATTTTCTGCGGATATGAGAAAAAGCGGTAAGACCTAATGACTCGATCTGGGACCTCCTAGAGATAGAAAGAGTTGAAGCTGAGGACAGATTGTTTTGGGGGAAGCACAAGAGTAATTTCATTTCTTAATCATATTACATCTGGATGAAATGCTGCCATTCACTTCATCTCAACATTTCTTCCTCGTGCTCGGTTTTCTCACACTCAGACTTCTCACAAGAGAAGCAGTAGATAACTCGGGGTTTTGGCTTTCTGACGCCTTCCTCCTTTGCTCCCAGCCTTGCAGCATGTCATCTCGTCATCCTCCCCAACCTCTTCAGAGGCCTGCCATCATTTCCATCGCCGTAGCCCCAGTCAGGACAGTTTTTAATAGCCTAAGCTCTATGAAGACAATTGCAAACACCATTGCAAATGCCCTCCCTTCCAGCTTCTTCCCAATGTGAT